ATGAATATATAAGTTTGAACATAATCAGTCCAGGCATGTCTAAGATATAGGTCGCACACATGGACGCACAGAGGTCAATCCATAAGTCCCTGTTTTCGGAATTTGACTAATTGAAGAGGGGACAGAAAGCAGTTGAATCCATGCATGTTACAGTTATCAGAATTAGTTCTACATAGATTGATTCAAATACCTGCTGCTATGATGATATCAACATCAATATTCTGCAAATGATTAGCTGAATCAACATCTTCCCAATCAAAGCGCAGCACAGAAACAGTACCACAATGAAAAACACAGGAATATTCCATGTTGTCATAAGTTTTATGAACTTCACATGACTGGTTACATTCACACACTGTTAGTTCATCTGCTTGTCTGTCCACATCAGTGTCTGTTTCTGAGCATTCACAATGGTTTTGTCTGTCCTGTAAATTATGACATACTGTGCTACCAGTGTTACATTGTGTACTACAATTAATCTTCACATTGTCTACAAGTGTATGAAGAACATTTTGATGACAATCTGAGAAGTAGTAATGCTTTGGATGACATTCATTTAGCGTGACAAGTCCTAGAAGGCCACACCCACTACCAAGCTCAACAACTTTTCTGTAAGATGAAAAGAACACTTTTAATAATGTTGCACCTCACAATTTTGTGAATTTCGCAAATCTGAGAAAAATCATAAATGGTGATAAAGTAAGTATAGAGTAAAAATGTCATTTATACAGAAATAGAGTGCAAAGATTTTTCAAAACAAACAATAGTACTGCATTTAATTAAGTAGCACTTATATAAATGAGATATTTGGTAAATGCACACTTCTATTAAAGATGCACTTCTAATAAAACAAATATACCATTTGTAATTTTTGTAAGAAAGGACTTGAAGAAAATTATAATACCTGTATATTTGTCAGTAAAAATGGCTGAAATATTCAAAACTAGGTATCCAGATGACACAATGGCAGAAATGGATAATTCTTATCTCTCATTGGCCAACCACGATGAGTGTTTAGTATTTTAATGTGATTACTACTTAGACTGCTATAGTGATTGCAACATACTTTTGCTGGATGATGTGATGGTTTTGTATCAACCATTCTGCTAGATACTGAGATGCAGGCCACGTATGCAGTCCTGTAGTACCAAGTGATACTAATTCATTTGATTCTTGTAATGTTATTACCTTTTTGCTTGGCTGTAAAAACAAACAAATAAAATCTTAACAAAATGCAATATGTGTATAACCATGGTAAGGCTTAGTTAGAGGGAAAAATGCAGTGATATGCGAGCAATAATTTTTGAAGCATGGTACTGTAAAACCATTTATTTTCACTGACATTAAATTTGACTATTTTGATGTTTTGAGCATATTCACAGTGTTTTACTCTGCATGCACAAAATCATAATATTGTAGAATAAAGTTTGATTGGCTTTGACTAAAATCTGATGTAGGTATATATGGCAGTCTTCTAGTATACATGCCAACTACAAGTGTACAAGTCTTGTAGGATCTGCGACCAATTAAATCTCCTGTTACACACCACTTTCTAGAGTGACAAAACAAGCTTTTATAAGGCAGGTTCTAATTGATTGACAAATAGCTCCAGAATAGAGCTGTCATACATGATCTACATAGGTAGCTGGTCAAATGTAATTAACGGCATACTAGTATGTACCAGTGGCCATACACCATTGAAGCATGTTTAATTTAGTAAGATACTATCTACTTCAACAACCACACAGCCGTTTGAATAGGAAATCATCTCATTCAGGACATCAAGATGATGAAATTACCCTACTCTCAGGAGTTGAGCTCATCCCAGAGCATTCTATGTTGCTTGGATAGACACCACTGTACAATGTAACAGCCTAAACTCAACTAAGAGACAATCTTGAACACCAAATTTCCATAATTATGTTATATATGTAAAGGTAATTTTGTTACACTGTTCAGGAAAGTCTTAACAACTAGTCCAAAATAATGTTTCTTGAGTTTTCGGCTTTTGTTGTCACCAGTAATGGTTTCTAGACAATGAAAATATACTTTACCAAGATATAGGACTTATAACACTTCTCTTGTTCGTTTGTCTTGCTGACCATTTTCGCATATAGTTCATAGATTCCTTCATAAATTTCAACACCAGTTTCTTCACACTATAAAATATTATATTATAATTCCACCACACAGAGTGAATTATACAAATATCATACAGCGAATTATCTTTAATTATAATACCGGTATTGAGGGCAAGAAATGCATGATACCCTTTTGAGTAGCATGCTATGGCTCCACAATGCATAACAGCACACATAGCCAAGCTACTGTAAAATACTTTATTTTCGCTGGAATTAATTTTCACTGAAAAGACTTTTTGTGTGTTTTGTAAGAAATTTATATCACTGATTTTTGATGAGTTGAATGTAAAATATAGGAAAAAAGGTATATTCCCTGGATTTTATTTTCACTGAATCATTCTTTCAGTGAAAATTAATTCTAAGCAAAAATAAAGTATTTTACAGAAATGCATTCTGTATTTCCACAAAATTCCAAAGGCCCTTGGCCATGGCAACCATTGCAATTTATCTAACTCATACAACTAAGCTAATATCATATAGAAGCACATGTAAACAAAAAAAATTGCATTTCTTGTATATAATATAACTTGTTTTGAACTTATACACACCTTGGTCATTTATTGTCAGCATATGAATAGATAATAATAGATTTGTCACATACATGTACATGTAATAACAGTAAAATTGCAACTCACCTGTTGCATGATGGCCTTCATAAATTTTTTCTGATATGACAATGTAGGAGGATATCGTTGACAAAGATCACTACAAACAGTCTAATCAGAAAAAAAATTAAGTCAACAAATTATGAAATTAGGTTAACACTAAATTCTCCTTCCCAAACTTTTAAAAACGTTTTTATTTCTAGATAAAAATAGATGCTCATCGAACTACTTTTTGCGTCGAACATTGATAAAAGTGGTGATTTTTCAGCCATTTAGCATATGGTAAAAAGGTTCACCATCAAAATTTCGGAGTAAAACAAAAAATTGTGATAAACTTTTCACTTCTATTTAGTAGGTTGAAATTATTACAATTAACTATTATAAGTTGTTGCACCATAATATGCCATACATTGCACAAAAAATACATTGTTTACATTGTTTTATTCCAATTTTTACAATCATGTGAAGGATAATTTTTGTTTTTATGTTAAATTAGGCGAGGGTTCTTTGAACCCGCCTATTCACATAGTTCATACCCACCATAGACTCCGGTCAGTCAAAATGACTATTTTGAACTGTAGGCATTAATCAGCGATTCTGCCGGTGATGGAGAGATAGAATCTAGGTCAGGGGAAGCCCCATGACCTCAAGATACTTTTACCCCTTACGTCATGAACCCACGTGACCAAGCTATATTGGCAGCGCCATAGTAGCCATC